TTTTTCCCCCCCCCCCCCCTGTCGATGGCAAGAATTACCTCAAAATATTTTAATGTCATTGGGGAGTGTTTTGTGAAAAACTATATATGAAAATTTTAATTTGTTCAGGTACTCATTTACATCTCAGTTGATTGAATGTTCACTTGAAAATATTTTGTTCAACATGTTCTTGCACATTATCTACAAATAAATTGTTTAATGAATAGTCGCAAAATAAATTAAAAAATAGTTGCGCATACAATAATTGAGGACCACCTAATTTGGTGAGCATGGAAGTTACTCAATGCAGTCTTTCCTCTCAATTCGGGGCCGTAGAAAATATTTGAATACTGATGAATAATGAAGGCACAATGCTTAGCGTCGAATGACTTTCATTATACTGTCGATTTGACCGATTTTTTTCACTGGAAGTAGCCTCCACGGTTATCAGATTTGTCGTCTCTTGATTTTCTTTTGTGCGGATACTTGGAAAGTAAAATCTGCAGCAGTCATCAGTTTGAACATCAAATGCAGTTGTATGAAACAAATTCAAATTTCCAAATGTAGTTTTTTACAAAACCAATGTAGAACAGTAAAGTTCAAAGACTATTGGAAAGATGACTCCAAAAGCTTTAAACGATGTTTTACTTGACCACTAGTGACATTAAGACATTTTGGGACTAGTTTTACCCTTAACTTTAATGAATAGACATCTGAATCGTTTTTATATAACTCATGTACATGTTATAAATATTTTTTTTATAGAAAATGATGTTGAACAGTTTTTCGTTTAGGCAACCTAAACAAATGTTACTTTAATTTAGAATACATTTTTTTAAATACATTGAAACAAAACTGCCTAGTCGCTACGTTTTTTATACTCGTCTAATGAATAAAAGGCATGGCGGATGAGAAACTTTTTCAAAGATAGTGTGAAATGTTTCATATTGGTGATTAGTTTCAAGTCTTCAGGCAAAAGATTGAACAAATAAATGTGCTCCATCATAAAGAGGGCTCTTTATATGATGCTTTCTTTGCAAGTGGTGCAAATGGAAGTCATTCTTCTGTCTGGTATCATATTCATGGTAGTCACTGTTTCTATTAATATTTTTAGCATTTTGATGGGTATATATAATTAATTTGTAGAGATAGATAGATGTTAATGTTAGGATATTGTTTTCAATGAACGTGTTTCTGCACGTTTCTCTATAGTCCAAATCATATATTAACATTATGAATTTTTTTTGTGATATGAAAATTCTGCATGTGTCTGTAGCTCTTCCCCACACAATGATGTTACTACTAATGATACTGTATATTAAAGTTATCTCTCAGATAGAACACAAATAGTTAAACTGAATGACACCTTTAGTGATCCAAGAACGATAAAAATAGGAGTACCTCAGGGCACAGTACTTGGACCTATTCTCTTTTTAACATATATCAACGCATTCTTATCTTAATCAACAAATGCAAAAGTAATATCATATGCGGATGATACCGTCATGTTGTTTAATGGCAATACATGGACTGAGACAAAAGATTTTCTGCAAAGAGATATGGAAATTGCCAAAAACTGGTTGGATAAGTACCAATTATCCCTGAATGTCAAGAAAACACACTATATTGCATTCTCAACAACAGATGTTAATAGACCCTCCTTCAGTAGTATAAAAATTAAGAACATCAAGGAGGAAATCACAGAGTTGAAAGAAATCAAGTACTTAGGGGTTATAATAGATAAAAACTTAAAATGGAGTAACCATATTGACTATCTAACAAATAAANTTATTTTTTTGTCGGGTATTATGTAAATGAGTAGTGGATACAGTCATAAGTTTTTATATTGATTTTTATAAACTTAATGCATTCATAAATGTATAGTGACGGAATAGTTAAGATACCAAATTTTATAAATTTGTCTCTAATATCGTCCCTATAAGTAAGAGAGAGCATATATCGAATAGCTCGCCTCTGGATGCCAAAAATTCTTTCAGTATGTGCCGAGTGACCCCAACAGAAAAATGCATACAGAACTAGTGACTGAAATAAAGCATAGTAAGCCTTAAATAGTACTTTATTGCTAACAATTTTGGCCAAGTTTATAAAACTGATGCTGAATTAAATTTACTTTTCATTGAATTTTAACTTGTGACATCCCATACTCCTCTTGAGTTTGAGAAAGGAATAAAGTATCCAGTAGAATATAGGAATGTAGGCTTTCACGGCTGTCGTCAATGTTTTGGTTTGTTTCCGGGTTTTCCGTAGTCTTCTTTGATCATAATCTTCAAACGTTTCAACTGCAACTGCGGCAGTCATCAGAATCATTCCTTCGCTTTATTCAAGGCGGAGCTCTTGGCGTCCGCCGCAGGAAGTGCCCTTGTCATTGAAGATGACTGCCGTAGTTACAGTTGAAACGTTTAGAGATTATAACCAAAGAAGACCACGGCAAAACCCTGAAACCAATCAAAATATCCAGTAGAACTTTGAAGTAAAACTACTTGATGTCGATAAAAATCTTTGCTTACTCAACAAAGGTTGTTAGTATCAGGTAGGTTGTAAAATGTAAGTTTCCGATAACAAAAAGTACCCAGTTATTGGATATGTTATGAAGTTTTCTGTCTGTCCCAATAGAGAGAGAAGGCATAGATAATAGAGCAGGCATTTAGGCAGCAACAAAGTATTTTTGTAAGAGTTGTTACAAGTTAACATCAATCTCTCTCTCAGGCGAAGGTTTCATGTATGTAGCGTGTTGAAAGCTCTTTGAATAATGAAAAAAATCTCATATTATTGGAATTTCCTATACAGGATCACTGAAAAATAAATGAAATAGTAAAATGGATGGTCAATATACAAATTTCATAAACTACACCTCAACGATTTGATCTCCACAATGTTTGAGGTGTAGTTTATGAAATTACTATGGATCTTCATCAATTAACTACCGAATCAATGTGGAAAAAATCTATATACAAAGGTAAAATTCTTATTCCCAACGACACAGGTGTCACTTCCTTACGGGGTTGTTTTCATGAAACCCATCTAACGCCAGATATCTTTGACGAGTGCATACATACAAGCTTTGTATCTATATACAAAGATACAAGTATTTTGTTCCTACTTTGTCATTGAGCGCCATCCCGCTGACAGTAGTTGAAGTAAGCTATTACTGTTATTAGCTACATTTGTGATGCGCCGTTTGGAATCTTTGGTCATTGTCTAAAGTAAATCCTTAGACAATGCTTTGGTGTAGTAATAAATATTACCGGAGTTTTTCCCCTACACCAAATCGTTATTTCAATACATCGACACGTGTTTCGATCACCAAGTAATCATCTTCGAGAGGGAGATCAAACAGTTTTGCTGGCCAAACTTCGATGCTATGGCTTGTCGGATCGTTTTTGTGTATGGCTCTTTAGCTTCCTGTAAGAACGTTCCCTGCATGTGGCCGTCGATGGATACCTCTCGAATACTCATCAACGCTGGTGTTCCCCAGGGATCCATATTGTCTCTAACCCCCTTTTTATTGTATATCAACGACTGATTGGAAAAAACGAAGAATCCAATATATTGCTTTGCTGATAACAACACACTTGTCTCGTCATTCAATTTGGATTCCAGGACATCGGCTACGGAGGCACATCTTCACCGGTAGCAGGAGGATGCAACTCCGATTTCTGCTTCGATAAGTTTGTTGGGAGTTGTAATGGACACCAATATGTCTTGGCACATGTCGCTGTAATTACAAAGGCTGCTTCTCAAAAGCTTGGAACACTGTTCTAAACCAGAAAACTGTACACACCTCATCAACTTTTGATGCTTTACAAAGCTCAGATCAGACCTTCTTTGGAGTATTGTCCTCATGTATGGAGCTCTGCCCTCAAACTTACCCTGAAGTTGCTGGAGTGACTTGGCACATTTGATTCTACCAAGACCGGTACATATCAGAAATACGCGACGGACTGTGGCTGCTCCTCGTTTTGAGGTTCTACTCAGTACACCTCGAACTTCCCTGTTTAAGAACTCTTCCATCTGGAGAACTGCGTTTATGTGGAATAAACTTTCTGAGAACGTTTTTCCATATGAATTTAATCTCCAGCGATTCATAATCAATGTGAATCGCTACTTTTGCGCAGGCACCGCTCTAAGAGCGCTTTAAGGATGTTTCTGTAGTGCTTGTGTTTTTTCCTTGAAACAAATCATTGTGTAGAGTACAAAATTCTTTATCGATCAGTATATACCACGACACAGTAGAATTAATGAATGAAACAACCTAATACATTTATTGAATCATTTTGTTTTATTGTAAGCATTCTAAACATTTCTAAAAAAATCCAATATACCTAATAACAATCCCGGTGTCTTCCAGAAATACTATCGACAATAACTTTTTTCCGGTAGTATTTTACTGTACATCTACTTGATGACAATCCACGAAGAACTTATCAGATAACTGGTACACTCTTTTGGGATATTTTCATTAAACATTTTATACAAAAACGCAACACGTGTTTCGCTATACAACAACGTCTTTGGGCGTGTTTGATACTCAACTGACAAATGAGTATTTTTCAGGACAGATTGTTTTTTGGAGAGAAAAACCTTTTTGGTCCTCTAATTCTCCATCTTGATACAATTACTGATACATCAATTACTGTCTTCCAAAGAGAGGAAGACAGTAATTGATATCAATATTTTTTTACAAAGTTGTATAGATCATGCATATAAATTTCTTTCAGGTTAGGTTAGGTTGAGTCCACAGTAAGTGGATCTATTCGACCCTCCACCGCAACCCACAAGAGTTTATTGTGGCTCACACCTATTCACACTCGACCAAATAAACCCAGCTTCTTGACGAAGCCGATTAGTTTGCATGGTGAGTGGTTTTTCAAGTCAGATGGTAAGAGTACGGCTCTGCCGAACACACTGTTTTCCGACAGTCCAAGTCTCTGCATATGTTGATTCAAATGACAATGACCTGTAAGAAGGCCTGCTAGACATCGTAGTTCATCCCTACTGTAGTCCAACAACTGTTTCCCAGAATACTGTGACTTCCAGTGTCAGCCAGCAGTCTGTTGTACTATGCATTAGATCGATTTGTGCAATTGGCAACGTGCACAAGTCTATATGCAGTCTATCTAGCCTCTCTTCTCAGAAAAATGTAGAGAGAAGGTAATTCTAGAAGGATCTCCATGGCCGCTGACGGTGTGGAACTGATGGCACCACAGAAAGCCAGACAAGCCTGTCTCTGTAAGTCAGAGAGCTTCGTCTGTTAGTTAGGGAAGTAATAGATTATGCTGTAGACGACCCCTCCCGATATAGAAGGCCCCGACACTCTGTCGAATGAGGCCCTCATGTCCCCCGTTAACGGGCGAATAGATTTTTCATCCATCCCACCCCAGCTAAGTAGAGGTACCCCGTGAAGGGCGGTACTGATGTCTAAGGACTTCATATCCCCTCAGTCATGAACCCATTTGTCCTTCTTCGACAAAAACCAGCTAAAAGGGTAAGGGAGCTGAGCTGCAACCTCTCTGAACTGAAGACGCTTGGTCTGAGCTTAGTCTGAGCCGTTTTCTGTAAAACCTTCGACCACCAAGCAATTGATCATTGGTCTGACAATCATCACATAAATCCAATGGATTTGTTCGGGACCTAAACCCCAAGTTTTACCACAAATCCTTCGACATGTCCTTAAAGACAGTCTGGCTTTGTGTAAAACTTTTTCCAAGTTAGCGTTCTAGGTGAGTTTTTTTATCAAGGACAATGTCAAGATAATTCACCTTCGTTCCAAATGGAGTGACCTCACCATTGAGGGAAAGTGGCGTTAGATC